GTGAGCACTAGAGAATAAAGAGAAAGTAGTGTTAAACGAAAGGTTTGAGTAGGTTGTGCGATGGGGAACCTGTGAGTAATAGGTAGAGTATTCCCGCATGTACGCCGCATTGAGAGAGCGGCATGAGTATGAGAGAGAGAAGTGGTGTAGCCCGTGAGAGTGCATGCGGATGAGGGCTATACCCAAGAGTACTCGAGAGAGAGATAGATTATGTACTCACATGGCCAAGGGTTTCGAATCAATGCATAACCGAGTCCGATCGGCTAGAATGAGTAGCAGTCACATAGAGCATGAGCGAGTCCCGACTGTGCCTCCGGTAAGATGAGGCCGTGACTTGGGTTATGAGAAAGAGAAAATAGAGAGAAGTATAAGAGAAAGAGTAAATGAGCATTGTAAGGAAAGAATTAGAGAGAGAGTTACGGGGTTAGATGATAGAGGATTTGCTTACTGAGCATTATTTTGGTGCTCACCCTGTTGTTTCCTATGTTTTGTAGGATCTAGGTGAGGACATGGTCGGATGGGCGTCAGCAAGTGAAGGGAAATGGCTACACTGTCCACCTTGTTTTTGATAGTTTAGTACATGATACGAATTTTGTATAAAGAATGTATACGTTTAATGAAAGAAAAATTTGGGCCCAACTTTTTATGCTACTTTACATGTATTTTTACTATGTATATTTTAAAAGAATATGAGTAGAATGGAGTTGTTACATATACTACCATCCGTTAGAGGATTTATTCCATAGACACTAGGGTTACCATCCATATGGAATCCTCTGGTGGGTCTGTCCAGTGAACTTGCCTCTAGCAAGCACCTATGTGTTTCACCAGGTTGTCGGCAAAAAACCTTGACAAGTGAGATCAGTCACTGTCTTTCGACAAGGTCCTTCAATACTATGATAGTCTTACTGTATTATCTGTGTCCTTGGTCAGAATAATACTAGGGCTACGAACATTTATAGAATGGCCACCATATGTGATCATAGGGTTCTCACTATCCAGATTTGAAACACTTGATACCCTCGTTACGGTTCTACCATCCTAAGGACATATATCATTACATACACGATATAGAAGAATATGTCTTTTATTGATAAATAAACATTTATTACAGAGTCAATTTTATAATAATTGATTGGCTCTAGGGCACCTACTCTAACAATAAGTTCATATGCACTTTTACAGGATTGTTTAATTTGAGCCAATATTCTGAAACCGGATCAGAAGATGACTCAGCCAAGTGGCTGGTTTTCGGTTTGAACTAGAGCTGGGCATTTGGGACCGGGTCCAAAAACCTTGCCCAAAAACTCGGTCCTAGCAGGCCTGGTCCCAAAACCGGACCAGGCCTAAAGGCTCAGGACCAAATCCTTTTGTTTTTTTTTTTTTTAATTTTTAGTCCCTTATATAATTACATAAAACCCCCTATAAATTTTGAAATAAACAAAAATTGTAGGGGTTAACAAAAATTTTACAAAATTAATTTTTTTTTTTAATAACCGTTGGCAACAACCAACGGTTATATAACTGTTGGCTGGCAACCAACCGGGGGGGGGGGTGGCGCGGGGCTTCTCATTCTCTCAAACTCTCTACTCTCTACTCCAAATCTCCAATCAAATTCTCATTCAATTTATATTTATATTTATAATTTATTCATATTATTATTAATTTATTTATATTATTCAATTTTTTCTTTTTTTCAATATCATTCATATTATTATTTATTTATTTTTTCATTTTAATTATTTATTATTTTATCATAAATTCATAATGGATTCCCAAAATGATGCATTCAAAGGATCATCCACAAATGAGTTTTACATTCCATCCACCGAGGAAATGGAAGGATTCTCACCATTTCCTCCAAAGGCAGTAACTGCAATTCCACAACCACATTCGACTAGGACGAGATGCAGTCAAACACATGCGAGCTACAACTCAAAGGGCACGGGCCTAGCCCAACCCCCTCGACCATCAAAGAGGGTCATGTCCGATGTATGATGACACTTCACCAAATCAAAACAGCCAAAGACAAATGAGGAGGGGGGAGAATCGTGTGGGGTATGTAATTTATGTGGAACCATTATTGGCGCTGAGAATGGAACTTCGACAATGCGACGACACTTGGAGAAGAAGCCAACCTAAATAATGCAGCTGTCCGGTACATCTTCAACTAGATCAGGTAGGCAAATTCAAACTCAACTTAATTTTAATCCACAATCCTCAAGTCTCTCAACATGACAATACAATGCATGTGTTGCACGAGAGAAATAGCAAGATTCATAGTTGCTACGAACTCTCCCATTTGTTTATCTGAAAATCCTTATTTTATTCACATGATTAAAACTGCATTTTGTCCAGCTTATACCCCTGTTAGTTGAAGTACAAGTAGAAAAGATATACTAAAACTTTATAACAAAATAAATAATAAACTTAAAAACGAATTTCAAAATTTTAGGAATATATCTATTGCACTTACATCAAACATATAAGCTTGCAGATCAAAAACAGATTTTTTAACTATCACAATATATTTCTTAGATCATAATTGGGGTTTACAACAAAAATTGATGGGTTTTAAACCATTATATGAAAAACATAGTGCTGACATTATTTATTTTACAATTTTTGAAGTTTTGCAAGAATATTTATTAACTGCGCTAACGCTTGATAATGCAGCTGCTAACACCGCGACAATCGCTTTATTTGAAAAGAGATTGGATCCGCGTGGGTGAAGCAAAATTTTTCACCAGATGTGCTTGCCACATCATCAATTTGATTATAAAGCAGTTTAGAGGTATACATTCGAAGAGGAGAGGGTGCACACGACTATCAGATTTATCGTCGGCGGTAGCAATAAAAAATGGCAGGAGTACGTCAATATGTGGCAAGAGGATCCACCGGCTCGACCTTTAAAGTTACGTACGACATGCCTATCCGTTGGAACTCCACCTCTTGATATTGGAAAAAGCTTTGCCACGTAAGACAAATTAGAGTTTCGTCAACCGGAAGAACTATCTAGAGGAAAGAGTCAGCTATGAGATGGGCGGCTTGTGAACTTTTTAATTCATTCTAAAAATTTATGATGATCTACTAATACATTAAGTGATATTTTACTTCACATTGCTAAACTTTTGCTAAATATAGATATAATGACGTTTTAATGGAAATTGTTTCAAGATGGAAGAAAAATACGAGAAATATGTTAGTATTCCTTCTTATAAGGTTAGCCTTGTTTAGACTCCTATTTAAATTACACAGTAATTAACTGTATAATTACTGAGATAGGCCAGCATTTAGGACATGATTATACGTTTTATTTGACTAACCTTAAACAAAAATTTGAAAGCCTTTTTTCTTTATATCAGAACAAGTATAATGGAAGTGGAAGTGGAACGTTCAGAAAGACGATCAGGCCTGATGCAGACCTGTCAAAGATCGAGCAAGTTGAGTATAGGGAACATGGCGGAAGTAGCTGCTCCAGCTGTACATACATGGACCAAATGAGCTTAATCGCTACTACAAGGTGAAACTGTGCTAATGATGATGAAGGAGAAACGTGAGATGGATATTCTTCAATGGTGGAACAACAATGAAAGTCGATTCCCCATTGTAGCCCAAATGGCAGTGACATTTATCTGTGCTGGTTTCTACAATTGATCCGAGTTAGCTTTTCAACGAGTGGCCGGATTGTTGAAGACAGAAGATGCTCTTTAAACGATGAGAAATTGAAGTGATAACGTGTTTTAAGATTGGACTCATGTAGAAGAAGGACTACAACAGCACCTGAAGATCCCGAAATACTCGAACTCTTTAGGAATACAGATTTTAATGATTTAAACATTGCTGAGATGAAGATGAATAATTTAATTAAAAAAATATTAATTGTTTATTTGTTGAAGTGTGAATGGTGAATATTACATTTATGTTAAAATTAACATAATTTTTTTATTTTTTTTATTTTAAAATTAATTAAACTTTTAAAAACTTATTAATCACCCTAAAAATTACTAAAACCCCCAACAGATTTTATTTCGCCCCTAAAATATAAAAAAAGATAAGGGGGAAAAATAATTTTACAGGCCATAGGACAGTCCTGGGACCGATCGGGTCTTAAAATTGCTCATGGGCCTAGGACCGGTCAGGCCATAAGCGACTGTCCCAAATGGACCAGTCCTAAACGGGCCCAAGCTAGGCTGCTTGGGACCGATCTTGACCAAGTCTAGTTTGAATGGTCCAACCGACGAGTCAAACCAATGACATCAGCAACTATATATAATATACCTTTCTCACTTCTAACCTCATTCTCTTTCTCTTCTTCTCCTTCACCTCTTTTTTTTTTTTTTTTTTTTTTTTTTTTCTTTCTTTCTCCGTCAACTTCTCTTCTTTTCTCCTCTTTTTATTTTCTCTTCTTTTCTGTTATCTTCTTTTCTTCTGCTTCTTCTTCCTCTTGTCCTTAATTTTTTTTTCTCTCCCTTTCTCCCAGTCATCTTCTACTTCTTCTCCTTCATCTTTTTTTTTTTTTCTCTCTCCTTTCTCCTCGTCCTTTCTCTTTCTTCTTTATGATTAAATTTGCTATTTAAAGTTGAAAATGTCAATGAAGGACGGGGAGATGGGGTAAAATGGTTTTAGGGATTTTGATTCAATAGACGTTTGCTGCCAGACCGATTGAACCGAGGGTCTAACACTGTTCCCACGGTCCAACAACGATTTAAAACAGTTAAATAATAATATGTTTTTTTGTATCAATAAACTGGAATCTTAAACGAAACCGATCGGACGATCTAACAGGCCAATCGGTCCGATTTTCAAAACATATTTTGAGCACACCCAAAATTTTGAAAAACATAAAAAATAAAAAAACAGAAATTATTGATCCCAGAGTTTATAATATTACACGGGAGGTTTTTTATAGTTTCTAAAAATCTGGGGGCACAAAATTAAGCAATCTCGCAGGCGGTATAAAATAAACCGCCAAAATAACCTTTCAGTAGACATTTTAGTTCATCTTCAACCGCTTCATACATTTACAAAGATCCTGAAAGTACATAAACAGTGAAGAGATACATCTTGAAAGGTAATGAATATAATTGACAAACTTGATTCATACAATGGTCAGCGACCTAAAATCAGAGAGCCAAACCACAGAGATTTCTAATCTTCAAACGAATTGCTTCAGAAACTCGGTAGCCACCAGCCTTCCTCTTGTGTTAACCGACATTTTCAATTCACTTATCTCTTTATCAATGTCCTGCAATTCCATGAAAAATATTTAGCCTGTCTGCTGTATAGAATTAAAGAAATAAAGCACATGTATTCACCATATCTAAATGGTAATCAAAACATTTATTCACATGGTTGAATCTCAAAATTGTCCAATCACATTTAAATATTTTTAATCCAAGCATAGCTGGTTTTCACTGTTTCCCCAAAAAAATTTATAGCAATAGCCAATGGACCAATTACTCGGCAAAATTTTAAGTTGCAAAAGGGTTTCTGGGGAAGAAAAATCTTAATAAGCCAGGCTTTTGCACATCCAATAGTCAGCCTCCCCTGTGCCTGCCAACTATTACTAAATTTTTGCAGGCAAAAAAAATTTGCGTATACAACGTACAATACTGCCCAGCATAGAGTTCTTAACAACATTACATGAAACTTTGAAGCCTGCTCTAACAGGAAGCAAGTTAAAGGGGACACCCATTTGATTGACACCCCTAGTTAACATTATAAGAATACTACTAGCTGTAAAATGTTTGAAGATATCCAAAATTTAATGAGATTGTTACTATATGTGAAATCAATTAATATGAGATAATTAAATGTGATCCACTGAACAAATTCTAGCAAACAATCAAGTGGTAGGGAAAAGCTAGTAATAAGGTTGAAGGAATTCTTGCCTCCATGAACTGCACAATAAAATCTATAAGCTTGTGTTTCTGCATCTCTTCACAATGATAGTTTGTGATGAGAAAGCTGATGTCATAACCCTGCAAAATGAAGGCCAATTAATCAAAAAAACATGTAAGTGCCACCAAGAAAACATATTAAATCCAAAGCAGAAGAATATAACTCATTTCTACATCAAAGCTAAGATATCTGTGAACCTAAATTATTATCAGACACCTGATTTTATAGATTTAAGAACAAAAAAATATCATTTGTACACAAAAGTTAACCAAAAATTTCAACAGAAACAACATACCACTAAAAATTTCACATGAGATTATGCGAAGCCTAAAGATCAACTAAGTGCTGGCATAGCAATGCATATCACCACTTTGATAGTGTGCAACTCATAAATAAGTTGCACATAATGTAGACTGGCTACACACATTACGGAAACACAATACAACACAGAAAACATGAAGCTATGCCAAATGTATCCTTGATTATTAATTGGCATAATCAAACACGATAGCAGTAAATTTTGTGTTGCTGCAAGCACAAAAGTTCTCAAGACGCTTATGTTGGAGAGCAATTGAATCCATAAGTGCAATACATTTACATAGAAAGGAATATTGTACTGCAAGAACTCATGAAAACCTTATAGCCCTTCAGCAAAACTATATTGCCATGATCATAAAATGGTTTATTGGAATCAGCATGTTGAACAATAAAAGATTTGAGCAGAAAATGTCTAAATAAAACAAAATCAGCCAATTTACCAAAAGTCAAATTAGAGATCACTTGAATCTCAAGAATAGCATTCTCCTGCCCGTAATTAGCAAGCATCTTACAAATAGCAGAATACCTCTAGATGCGTTGTTCGGAAACTGATGGTTTCTAAGCAAATTGGAAATCATTTGAGTTTGTCTAACAGCATTATGTATCCGAAAAGCATTAAGATAAAACCACATACCTGTACTGGCTTTCTCCTCAACACTTGAAATGCTTCTGCCCTCATTGACAAAAATCTGAGAAACTTTTTAGTTAGTATGTTTTCAAGTTCATCTGCCTGCTTTACCTACAGAACAGAAAAATAACATGTGTATAAGGAGAAAATGGGACACCTGAATATAATTCAAAGTTCAGTAAACTTATAAGGGTGCCAACCATATTTTCAAACATCACGGTTGGCGAAATCCCTATGCTTTGTTGCATAAGCAAGAAGTAACATAAAATAAACAATTCCTTTTTCCAGCATTTGCTGTGTCACAAGAAAGGATCCAATGATAGATGATAAATATTCACCTTCAGGCTTATGCGAAGTGAGTTGATAGATGTTTCAATTAAACATTTTTCAGCTTCATTTCGACATATCAAAATCTGCAACAGTAATTTCACATATGAAAATAAAATCCATAGACAATTAAAATTTACGCTACACAATAACTGCAAAGAATAAATCTTAAAGCTCTTTAATTAAAAAGAAGAGTAAGAACTAATTAGCCCATTTTTGAAATCCCACCTATAGTACAAATGTAGATTCTCCTAACACAACTAAAAACTGAAATTGCAGAACATACAAAAACCATACAGAATATGATTAGTCCCACCAGCTAGATTAATTTTACAATCAGAAGAACGTGATAATCAATTGCTTCAACTACTAATCTTCTATACCAAATTAAAAGATGATAAAGGGTATGAAACATTGTTCATTAAGATAGGTAACATGTATCAAGCATGGAGAGTGTCTTTTATTACACCATTTGGCTTTAAAAATATAGATAAATGTAAATAATAATGTGTATACAAGTTTCAAAGAAGAAGAGATCACGTTAATAAATTGAAAAGGCCCAGTATATTTTATAGTATTCTGCTCAAGCCCCTAAATATAAAATTTAAACTGTTGAGGCTTCCAACATTAGACTAGTCATGGAAACGAAATAGAATTCAAGAAATCGACAGCATCATGAATTTTATGCATTTGGAACTATCAAAATGAGCCACTAAGATGGATGGAACAAAATATATTTGTCCCAGATAATGGTTCTTACAGGATTCAGTAGAAGTTCAGGGCTGGTCCTGCAACATGCAAAGAAAAGATTTAAATCAGCTGAAGAAAAATATGCTATAAGCTGGAAGCAAAAACTGTGACGATGCAGAAAATGCTATAAAAACTGGATCAAGTAGACTAAGCAGCAACGGAAATGCATTAAAGATAAATTTGGAAACAGACCATATGCAAAAGAAAGTACTGTTCAATAATAACCATTAATAGATAGAAATCCCTGCTGAGGGCCTGCAGATGGCCACCAAAAGTTCAAAATTGAATTTCCTGGTTGTAATTGAATTTTCCATGAATCCGTAAATCCAACTTATGTGCTTCTATGATATTCAGAATTAAATTCCTTACAAATATTATGTAAATACAAGGCTTATGTGTAGAATCTAGGAAGAAGAAGCTATAAATGGGCAGCTAACCACCAGACTACATTATTTCTTCAATTATAAAACTAATTTATCATTCAGAGCTAAACCTCAAGGAAAAAGGCTATTTTCATGTACTTTTTTAATATTTGACTGCCTACATAACATAATACGTTGAGTGAAACTTATCATTAAAAATTATCTAAAAAATGTATTCCTTTACGATTTATAATAAGTATTACGTTCATTATTCATACAATGTTTTGGCGATATTCTCACTCTTAGGATTTTTAAAATCAATGTCTCGAATTTCTTAGCATTTATGTTAGCCAAATCAAATCTTTAAATTCCAGAATACCTTTAATTTTTAAATCATTATGGGAGACTTCATAAGCTTAACAGTACATAAAACTTAATCCATGATCTTAAGGAAACAACCTAACTTAATACATGCATGTGCCAGCAAACATGGAAACGAAAATATACTTAGGCAAAATCCAATGTGTATTGTGTAATAAAGAGACTGAGACAGTCATATTTGACTCGACTCGGGATTTTGCAACTAATACCTTGTATTTTATGAACTACAGCAAAATTCAAAGCAATCAAGCAAAGCATTAGATTTCAATATATTCACTCCAATACAAAGCGTAGCCACTTATAAAATTCTAGTGATGTTAATGGAATTTCACAGCGAATCTCGACTTATATGGTGCAAACAAAACACATTCCAACACATACATGATCCAAACACTGCAATAACCAGTATAATTAAGCAACACAAGAGCGAGAAATTGAGGCGGTAAACGTACTTTAACTCAACCTCTGGCTTATTATGTCTTTCAACTTCTTGACAAGGAAAGTTCTACAACAAACACCAAATTTATTTCATGAAATCAATCAAACATCAAATAAACAAACCTAAAACTCTCAATTCAGAGCAATCGCATCAAATTACGACGGCATTTCGTACCTGCAAACACATGGCGGCATCAAGCGTGTTGCGAATGCACGCCAGATACAATCGCAATGAGCTGGCCTAAATGCGATTAAAGATTACGAAACACAAAATTACTCATCAAGAACAGACTATAAACGAGATCCAATCAAGTTTTTGTGAGTAAATCTTACCATGATTACGGAATTGGCTTGACTCCGAATTCAGTGTCTGTGAGATTCTGGGTTTGTGATCGTTTGTTGTGAGCTGCGACCTGAGAAGAAGTGACGTTCAAGTATGGTTAGAGTTTATGACATCTACATCCTTGCAGTTTGGGAAAAGTTTAACTAAACCCAGAGGTTCGGACAAGTACGGTAAAGAACTAAAGATTCGTTTTCTGACCCAAAATCGCCGGCGTAAAAGACATAAATACCCTTCTTGTTACATCAACACAACACAAATCTTCATCTATATTATTGAAATGATGTAATTTATTTGTTATGTTGTCACTAGATGATAAAATATGATGCATTGAGGTAAAACACTGTGAAAATGGTGGATTTTGTCATAATTTTATAATTTGAAACCTTAAAAAACGTATTGTTGAAGATGAAAAAAATTCAACACACTCAACAAATCTTGAGTTTTTATCCTAATTGATGAAAAACTTAAGATTTTTGGAGTTTATCTCAAGCGATATCAAGTTTTTCATTGGTTGAATGAGAAACTTGAGATTTGGCGATTTATTTTCACCTTTTAGGGTAAAATTCCATTGTATACTTAAATTAAAGAATAAAACCTCCGTAATTTCTTAAATTACAATATACACACCAACAAGTGTAAAATATAAACAATGTATTTTAACTAAAGTTAGTTATAGAGGTTAATCTAACTTTCTTCTAAAGAAATAAATTCTTAAAAAATTTCGAGAACTTGCTTTGTCTACCATGTAGAAATAGAATATTTTTTCTTATATTTTTATCACTCATTTTGTTTTTCATGATTTTTATCAATGTAACATACATATATCAGAATGCATGATTCCTAATTCTATAAACTTACCCATTTTAAAGACTCAACAAAACTTTTTTATTTTTATTTTTTCAAACCTTTTTAATTTGTTTTACGTATTTGTGGGTTAGTGATTATTGTTAATGGGTGTAAAAAATAGCCAAGGGTTGAAAAATATATTAGAAGAAAATGAGTGATGTAATAAAGATAACAAGAATTTGGTCATTCTTTAGGCTTAGTGGTCAATGTGATAAAAAAAGGTTATTTATTTAAACCCCCAAAGCTTGGTTAGTTTCCCGATTTCCAAAACAAAAAGGTTAAATTACTTAGAACCTTTGAATTTTGCTAATGTTCTAGGAGATTTATGATAATTATCCAGAATCTTTGAAATCATGTAGGNAACATGGCAATACAATGCACGTGTTGCACGAGAGAAATAGCAAGATTCATAGTTGCTACGAACTCTCCCATTTGTTTATATGAAAATCCTTATTTTAATCACATGATTAAAATTGCATTTTGTCCAGCACATACCCATGTTAGTAGAAGTACAAGTAGAAGAGATATACTAAAACTTTATAACAAAATAAATAATAAACTTAAAAACGAATTTCAAAATTTTAGGAATATATCTATTGCACTTACATCAGACATATAGGCTTGTAGATCAAAAATAGATTTTTTAACTATCACAATATATTTCTTAGATCATAGTTGGGGTTTATAACAAAAATTGATGGGTTTTAAACCATTATATGAAAAACATAGTGCTGACATTATTTATTTTACAATTTTTGAAGTTTTGCAAGAATATCTATTAACTGATAGAGTTATAGCGCTAACGCTTGATAATGCAGCTGCTAACACCGCGACAATCTCTTTATTTGAAAAGAGATTGGATCTGCTTGGTGAATGCAAAATTTTTCACCAAAGATGTGCTTGCCACATCATCAATTTGATTGTTAAAGCAGGTTTAGAGGCTATACATTCGGAGATGAAGAGGGTGCGCGTGACTATCAGATTTATCGTCGACGGTAGCAATAAAAAATGGCAGGAGTACGTTAAATATTGTAGGCAAGAGGACCCATCGGCTCGACCTTTGAAGTTATGTACAGACATGCCTATCCGTTGGAACTCCACCTACTTAATATTGGAAAAAGCTTTGTCAACCGTAAGACAAATTACATATTTCGTCAACCAGAAGAACTATCCATAGGAAATTGTCAGCTATGATGATTGGGCGGTTTGTGAACTTTTTTATTCATTTCTTAAAATTTTTTATGATTCTACTAATACATTAAGTGATATTTTACTTCACATTGCTAAAACTTTTGCTAAATATAGATATAATGACGTTTTAATGGAAATTGTTTCAAAGATGGAAGAAAAATATCAGAAATATTCGTTAGATATTCCATTCTAAGCCTTGTTGTAGATCCTAGGTTTAAATTACACATAATTAACTGTATAATTACTGAGATAGGCCAGCATTTAGGACATGATTATACGTCTTATTTGACTAACTTTAAACAAAAATTTGAAAGCCTTTTTTTCTTTATATCAGAACAGGTATAATGGAAGTGGAAGTGGAACATTCAGGAGAGACGATCAGGACCTTGATGCAGACCTTCGTCAAAGATCGAGCAAGTAGACGTATATGGAACATGGCGGAAGTAGTAGCTCCAGCTCGTACATACATGGACCAAATGAGCTTAATCGCTACCTACAAGTGGACCTGTCCTACATGACGATGAAGGAGAAACGTGAGATAGATATTCTTCAATGGTGGAACCAACATGAAAGTCGATTCCCCATTGTAGCCCAAATGGCACGTGACATTTTAGCTATACCGGTTTCTACAATTGCATCCGAGTTAGCATTTTCAACGAGTGGCCGGATTGTTGAAGATAGAAGATACTCTTTAACCGATGAGATAATTGAAATGATAACGTGTTTACGAGATTGGACTCATGCAGAAAGAAGACTACAACAGCACCTTGAAGATCCCGAACTACTCGAACTCTTTAGAAATATAGATTTTAATGATTTAAATATTGTTGACGATGAAGATGAATAATTTAATTAAAAAAAGTGTTTAATTGTTTATTTGTAAAGTGTAAATGTGTGAATATTATATTTATGTTAAAATTAACTATTAATTTTTTATTTTATTTTATTTTTTAAAATTAATTAAACTTTTAAAAACTTACTAATTTACCCCTAAAAATTACTAAAACCCCCTACAGATTTTTATTGTGGCCCATTAACCAATATACAAAAAAGATTGGGGGGGGGGGGGGGGGGGAGAATTTTACAAGCCCATAGGACTGGTCGGGTCTTAAAATGCTCATGGGCTAGGACCGGTCCTAGGCCCGTGAGCAACGGGTCCTAAATGGGACCAATCCTAAACGGCCCAGGCCGGGCTTGCTTGGGACCGATCCTGACCAAGTCTAGTTTGAACGGTCCAACCGACGAGTCAAACCAATGACATCGGTTAGGCCCATGAGCGACTGGTCCAAATGGACCAATCCTAAACGGGCCCAGGCCCGGGCTTGCTTGGGACGATCCTTGACCAAGTCTAGTTTGAACGGTCCAACCGACGAGTCAAACCAAGACATCAGCAACTAATATATACCTTTTCTCACTTATCACCTCATCTTTCTTTCTCTTCTTCTCCTTCACCTCTTTTTTTTTTCTCGCTTTCTTCTCCTCCGTTTCTCTTCTTCTTCTCCATTTTTATTTCTCTCTCTTTCTCCCGTTATCTCTCTCTTTCTTCTTCTGCTTCTTTCTTCCTCTTTCCACTTTTTTTTTTTCTCTCCCTTCTCCCCGTCTTCCTTCTTACTTCTCCCTTCATCTTTTTTTTTTTTCCTCTCTCTTTCTCCTCGTCCTCTTCTCTTTCTTCTTATAGATTAAATTTGCTATTTTAAAGTTGAAAATGTCAAATGAAGGCAGGAGATGGGGTAAAATGGTTTTAGGGATTTTGATTCAATAGACCGAATTTGTTGCCAGACCGATTGAACCGACGTCTAACATTGTTCCACGGTCCAATAACGATTTAAAACAGTCTAAATATAAATCTAGTTTCATTGTATCAATAAACTGGAATCTTAAACGAAACCCGATGACTGTCTAACAGGCCGATCCGATCCGATTTTCAAAACAATTTTGAGCACCCCAAAATTTTGAAAAACACTAAAAATAAAAAAAAGCAGAAATTTTATGAAAATCCCCCTCAGAGTTTCATATTACAGGGAGGTTTTTTATAGTTTCTAAAAATCTTGGGGTGCACTAAATTAAGCAATCTCGCAGGCGGTATAAAAATAAACCCGCCAAAATAACCTTTCAGTAGACATTTTAGTTCATCTTCAACCGCTTCATACATACATAGATCCTGAAAGTACATAAACAGTGAAGAGATACATCTTGAAAGGTAATGAATATAATTGACAAACTTGATTCATACAATGGTCAGTGACCTAAAATCAGCGAGCCAAAACCATAGAGATTTTCTAATCTTCAAACGAATTGCTTCAGAAACTCGGTAGCCACCAGCCTTCCTCTTGTGTATACCGACATTTTCAATTCACTATCTTTATCAATGTCCTGCAATTCCATGAAAAAAATTTAGCTCTCTGCTGTAGAGATTAAAGAAATAAAGCACACGTATTCACCATATCTAAATGGTAATCAAAACATTTATCCATGGTTGAATCTCAAAATCATCCAATCACATTTAAATATTTTTAGAATGTCATATTCATGGTCCAAGCATAGCTGGTTTTCACTGGTCCCCAAAAAAATTTATAGCAATAGCCAATGGACCAATTACTCGGCAAAATTTTAAGTTGCAAAAGGGTTTCTGGGGAAGAAAAAAACTTAATAAGCCACGCTTTTGCACATCCAATAGTCAGCCTCCCCTGTGCCTGCCAACTATTACTAAATTTTTGCCGGCAAAAAAATTTGCGTATACAGCGTACAATACTGCCCAGCATAGATTCTTAACAACATTACATAAAACTTTGAAGCCTGCTCTAACAGGAAGCAAGTTAAAGGGGACACCCATTGATTAACCACCCTAGTTAACATTTAAGAATACTGTTAGCTGTAAAATGTTTGAAGATATCCAAAATTTAATAAGATTGTTACTATATGCGAAATCAATTAATATAGATAATTAAATGTGATCACTGAACAAATTCTAGCAGACAATCAAGTGGTAGGGAAAAGCTAGTATAAGGTTCAAGGAATTCTTGCCTCCATGAACTGCACAATAAATCTATGAGCTTGTGTTTGCATCTCTTCAAATGATAGTTTGTGATGAGAAAGCTG